CCAACTTCCTTGCGATGGCCTCCAACCTAAAAGCGATGGCCTTTAACTTACTACTTGTCCTTCTGGTATCTCATGTTTTTTAACTCAGGCCGGCGTGCGGCAAAATCAGTACGCATTTCTATACGCGTGTCAACCTCCGTATCTAGGAGCCCTCACTTTTCCATTTGCCAGCAGGGGCGTACGGATCGTCATACCCACCGTACGCAATGAAGCTACGGTATGACGAGGGAAGGGTGTACTGATCATCCACCCGTACCTGCATTAACTGTTGCTTAGTTGCTGTGGTCCCTTGTTTGTTTCATGGTGGTTCATGTACCTGATGTTGTCCCGCCATTTTTGTCTGTTAGTTCACGGTTTAAACAATACCTGTTGCTGACATTTCACCGTACCGCTCCATCAAGTCAAGGGCTAAGTATTCATTCCTGGTCGACGGTTAAACAATACCTGTTGCTGACGCTTCACCTTGCCGTTCCATCAAGTCAAGGGCTAAGTATTCATTCCGGAAGACGACTGAAACTCATGTACCTTCATTGGAACTACGAATCAAAGTGTGACCTGCTGCATCTTCCCACTTGGGTGTGCAAGGTGATTCCCGCAAGGGGCGCTGAAGCCATTCCGGATTTTGTCTTTCTGAGAAGCGTATGTGCACCGGTAGCCGCTTTCTGTTCAGCTGATGTTCACGGATCAACTGTTATCACAGCCGAGCTCACGTCACGGAGATCACTCACTGGAACATACATCAATCACATATCTTTCGTCTCATGCGACTTTCTATCTGAATTCACGCGACATTTTCCATGACTTCGGATTTTCAACAACACCCCAACCCCGCCCCCCTTTTCTCTCTTGCGTTTTTCTTCGTTTGTTAGGTGTTTCTTCAGGCTTGTTAGGTTGATCTTGAGGCTCGTTTAGTCGACCCTGCCCCTCGCTTTTCGTTTCTTTCTCTCCTGCCTTTCGTTTCTCTTTCTAGGTCTGCTTCTCTTCTGGAGGCTTTTTAGGTGCGTAACCAGGTTTTCTTAAGTCAAGCGCTCGCCAGCTTACTTGTGGGTAATGTCTAGAGCCTAAGTAACGCCAAAGCTATCTACTGCGTTGTTTCCTCTTGAGGGTCAGAGTACGCCGCTATGCAGCTCACTGTGTATGTCAACCTCCGTATCTAGGAGCCCTCGCTTTTCCATTTTCCAGCAGGGGCGTACGGATCGTCATGACCACCGTACGCAATGAAGCTACCGTATGACGAGGGAAGGGTGGACTGATCATCCACCTGCTTTAGGTGTCACTCAGTTGCCGTGGTCCGTGGTCCCTTGGTTTGTTTCATGGTGGTTCATGTACCTGACGTTGTCCCGGGATTTTTTGGTTTTTCCCGAATGCGTAGCAAAGGGTTCTCGTTTAACTCTGGGTAGAGCCTTGTTCGCAACTCGTTGTCTGAGCGACCGCAACCGTTGCCAACCGTTCGCAACCGTCCGCAACCGTCCGGCGCCGTCCGCAGTAGGGCGCTAAGGCGCTGCCAGTGGGGGAAGCTTTTGGCGAGGGTTTTGCATGGAAGCGGGACGCGTCAGATTCGTGTGAAATAGCGAGGAAACGTGTGGAAGCGTAAGATGTTGAAGTGTGGAGGATGATTTCACTGCGCAGGCGAAGCATTTTGTGAGATCCGCAGCTTTCTGCGTAGTCACATTGGGATTGGCGTTTGAGGGTGGTGTTTTTGGGGTGTTGGGTGTGGCTGTGACATTGGGATTTGCGTTTCAGGGTGTTGCATCGAAGAAGCTGTGTTTTCGTGACAAGTCTCAGCTCAAATGGCGATTTTGGTGGATGGGTAGACGTCTGGACGTGGGAATTTCGTGGCCGGTAAAGGGAATCATGAGGTCGCGAGTTGTGGTGGAGGTGTATGTCGCTGTGACATTGGGATTGGCTTGTGAGCGGGTGTTGTTTGGAGGGACTGAAATCGCGAAACTGCTTGGCAGGGCTGCTTGATGCGCGTGCTCCGATGGGGCTTCCCGCTTCTTGACTTTTGGAGGAAGTCGCACGAAATGCTCGCTTTGGAGACTTTGACATGTGACTTTTGGAGGAAGTCTCGTCCACAAGAGCGAGTTTCAAAAAAAAGTGTCCTGCAAGAGTGCCCCACTAGAGTGTCCTACAAGAGTGTCGCACAAGGCTTTCCCACAAGAGTGTCGTACAAGAGTGTCCCACAAGAGTGTCCTACAAGAGTGTTCCGCAAGAGTGTCCCACAAGAGTGAATTTCATACAAGGTGTTCCACAAGAGTGCACAAGAGTGTCCCACAAAGGTTTCCGACAAGAATGTGCCCTACAAGAGTGTCCCACAAGAGTGTCTCCTACAAGAGTGTCAAAAATTGTTTGGGTGTTTGTTTTCGAGTACGTGTTTGCGTTCGGGTTCGTGGGCTCCATCTTGTTTAATTCACGGTTTGAACAATACCTGTTGCTGACGCTTCACCTTGCCGTTCCATCAAGTCAAGGGCTAAGTATTGATTCCTGAAGACCACTGAAACTCGCGATTCTTCATTGGAACTATGAATCAAAGTGTGCGCTTGCGCTCGCAAATCTCTGCTCACATGTATGTGCGCTCCCACATGTTCTCTAATGGGTGGGGTTTCATGTGGTCCCTGCATACGTGCGCTCCCATGTGAGTATCAATCTGTGCTTTCATACGTCGGCTCGTATACAGTAAGCGCTAAGCGGCTAAGCGTGGTCTCAAACGTGCGCTCTCGTATGAGTATGGTATTAAATCCTCTGTGGAATAACCAGTGGGGGTTGAGAACACCATTCTATAGTGATAAATGGTTGAACCAACCTCTGGGACCACAATGCCCCACTATAGAATCTAGCTTTCAACCCTTGTAGTGTACAGCATAGTTTCTCTATAGAATATCTAGCTTTCAACCCTTGTAGTGTACAGCATAGTTTCTCTATAGAATAAAGGGGGTCACCCTTGAAGGCACTAATGTAACAGAATTGTAGGCTCAAAATCTAAATTATCTAATTGAAACAGCCAGGGGTGGTTCTCATTCTACAAAAGAGGTTGGTATTCTATCTTATAGAAACATGATTGAACATTGCAAGGTTGAATTTCATTTCATAACAAGATTGGACAGAAAATGACAATCCAAAAACAAGATATGTCTAAAGAGGTTGATATTCATTTTATAAAGACAGGGTTGGACACTCACAGGATGATTTTTTCATTTTAGAAAGGTGAGCTGAATTTTGAACAAAAAGATCCTTTTATAGTGGGCCAATATTCACCGGTTATTCCACAGGAATTCTTCTACTGCTCCAGGTTCTCTCTATAGAATCAAAACCTCTGTCCTCTATAAAATGCCCTCAATTGTCATATATTCTCTATAAAATGAGGGTGGTCAACCTAGTGATCCATCAATATATGATTCTCTCACCTCAGATATGCTCGGAGTGGATCTGTTTCAGGTAGGTTGACTTTTGATTCTAGAGAAAAGTCTCTATAAAATGCTAGGTCATTTTGGAGCTCGACCTCCCCCATTCTATATATAGGGGTTATTCGGCAGGGGATGGTATTAAGTTATATGTGTGCACTCTCACATGTGTGTGTGTGTGTGCGCGGGTGGTCTCATATGTGCGCTCGCATGCGTGTGTGCTCTGATGTGTCTGATCCCACAGGTGTGCTCTGATACATGTGCTCTCAGCTCATGTGGGCACTCTCAATGCATGCTTTTCTACGTGCTTGCTCCCAAAGTTCCCGTATTGGAGCAAGCACCGTGCTCTCACCTCCGTGCTCTCAGTTTGTTGCGTTCCTGTTTTGAGGTCTCTTGCGGGGATAAAATAGCTGTCCTCTGACTGCAAGTTCTGCGCCTGTACATGAAATCTCCCTCAGCATCTCGTTATGCTAAGTAAAAATGGGTTGGGGAGCATAACAAGTTCTTGCATGTTTCACTCCCACTCCTCACCAGCACTAGATTTACTGAACACAGTTGTTGACATCAGGCGGCAGCCTGAGGATCAAGCTCAAGCTCAGCAGCATCCAATGAACCTGTACATGCCTGCAAGTAGTACAATGCATATGAATGAGCTTGCTGCAACCGACAAAGGACAAGTACAATGCTTCCAAGCTTCCAGGTTTAGTGAGCAGGATCTTCAACAATTCCTTCACAAGTATGTACTGAGGCTGCTGCAAGCACCTCTTGCAGCGCACCCTGCAAAAAGGAATCAAGTGCTAGGAAAAGAGTTGGTTGTTGTTAAGAATGCAGCACTTGAGACAAACTGCACAGCTTCTTCAAGTGTCAAAGCGGAATGTTTGCCGCCAGATTTTCAACTCCAATGTACCAATCTAATCAGCCCCAACCTTCTCGGGCAGTAGAACTGCACGCACATCACCTACCTGTGGACAGAATAGCACTGCTTCTGTCCTGTTTGAGGTGTTCTTAACCATGTGGCGACGAAGGTAATCATATTCGGTGGAGCTGGGGTCGAGGTTGGCACTGTCACGAACATCTTGCATTGTCTCCAATGTATGCCAAATTGAGGCGCGTTGGAATGCCAAGGGCACCCCGCGCAGTCCGCCGGGCCCGCCGGGCAAAAGGGATGGTGGGAGAGAGGGAGGGAAGGAGGGCGAGGGAGGCAAGGGACAAAGAAATAGAACGACCCAATGTCCTCTAACTTGGCAAGCAAAGACAAGCCTGAAACAAGAAGGTCTCGGAAGAACTTGGAAGAACGAGAGGGTCTTGGGGTGAGCTTAAATGCTCACAAACAAATGACCAATACTTTTTGGCCGCCGGGGCCCAGTCACAAGTTCGAACTGGATGCACTTGTTCCAGCTTGACTAAGACCCTCACTCCAGCCAACACGATCCTCTCACCAAGCACCAGCACAAGAATTGCTGAACAGCCACTGAATGCATGAGCACCTCATGGAGTGACCAACTTAAATCAAACATCGCTTTAACCAAAATATATCAAAATATAATAGTTACGCAGCGCCATTTCTGATTTTAAGTTTCTTTCAGCTCTAGCATGGTCATCTTACTGGCACCGTCTTGTGGCATTTTGCATTCGGAGCTAATTTACGAATCAATCAACTGAAATGTGTCTTCTGCGCAGAAGATGCGCAAAGGAACCCGTCTTCCCTGTTTTGAAGTTTCAATGACCATTGCAGGCACACACTACACAGGCCCGACTTGCTGAGGACTAGTACTTTTGAGGATCTCAGCATCCAAAGCCTGAGACTTTCAAGTTGAAAGCGTGGTTTTTGGTTATCAAGTGCCTTGAAGAGTACAGGCCTCTAGTGTTCGTTCAAGGAGTCTTCTCAGCTGGGCTGTGTCATACGTGTGGATCCTCGGACTTCGGACCAAGCATCATCGTGAATGGCAAAACACTCTTGGGCACCAACCGTTCTGCCAAAGACGGCAGGAGTTTTTTGTGAAAGTTCTCTGCGCACCATCTGGAATGGCCACCAAGGCAAACAAAGCAACAAGACACCCAAACTTCTACAATCACTTGCATACCCCACGAGAAGTTTGTCGATCTCTTTTCCTTCCATGTTTCCCAAGACGAGACGAAGCTGCTGCGCAGATTCTGCGCTTCGCAACCCGTGGAAGAGAGCGTAAGCCTCAGCATGATTTTCGAGCAAGTCAGTGGTGAGAAAAACACTACTAGAACAGTCCTGGCGGCTCTTTTTCCCCACATGCAAGAGTCGATTTTTAGTGTTGGGTTCTGAATGGTTCCTACTTGTGCTGGGGAACAACTCCTCGGCCTCCTCCTCCTCCCTCCTACCTACACCAACTTGCACACGCAAACTTCCTCACACCAACTGCCTCATACTCCTCCTTCGCTCCATTAAGGGTTTGCTTCTCCTGGGGTCGGATTCGCCACGGATCCTCGAGTCGGATTGCCGCCGCTCCGGTGCTCAACTCACACCAACTCAACTCACATAAACACAAAAAGTTAAAAGGCTTGTAAAAAAGAACAAATATGCGTTGCAAGATTGATGCTGTTGGTGCACTTAAAAACTGCCGTACCAAGACCAACATCACGCACACGCCATCCAATCCATCTCGCATGACTTGGAAACATGCTGCGTGGTACAGTATACGCTTTTCGGTGCTGCTGCACCTTCTTCTGAAGTTTGCTCGGTGTACGTGGAGGTGTTGAATGCCGCTGTGATTTGCTGCTTGAGGGCTTGCTTCGAACTTTGCTCTGGGGACTAACTTTCTCAACGACATTCCAAAGGTACAACGTAGTGTGGAATTGTCACTTGTGCCGCGGCAGGCACACCACTTTGCACGCTGGAAGGGTTGAATCTCAATTTGTGGGAGGATTTGCCGCTTTGTACCCAATCCAAAACTAGTATGCAGAGTGGGCCCTAGGATTCGGCTGAAAAACGTTGCACAAAACCCCACAAGAGTCCACAAGAGTGTCCGGCCAGAGTCGGGGGCAAGAGTGTCTAGCGTGTCCTCGCAAAGATGTCTCGCGAGCGTGGAGGTAGGATGTCCGGGAACAACCGCAAGAGTAGAACACTCGAGGGGGTGGCATGGCATCTTTTGCCATTCGCAACCGAGAGTGACTCAGAACCCAAACAGTAACACTAGTCCATAGAATCATGAAAGGACCTCACATCTTTCTTTTGACGCAACTTTGAGATTCTCTGGACCAATTGCCACAGACACGACCCTCCGCTTCAATCCGAAGTTTGTAGCGCTGCGTCTTCCGTTTGCCTGAGCAACCTTGGTCAGCATGTCCGACAGGTTCCCGTTGTAAGGGACCACCGGATCCGAGACTTCGTCTTGGGCACGCTGTCCCGAATCAGGGATCGTATTGGACTGATCTGCTTCTCCGGTCCTCACTCCAAAAAACACCGCGTCTGGTGCGTCAAGCGGTTCTTGACGCTCAAAGGGGAAATCTGGCAACTGGCGGGGTCTCCTCCTGCAGCCTGTTCCAATCTTTCTTTTTGCAGGTTCAGAATATCGGCATTCAAGATGATCCCGCCGAAAGATCTTGCTCTAACGTTCCTAGTTTCTGTCATACTGCCACAAAGTTCCAACACCTTCAAAACAAAATTCCGACCTCCCAAATTGAGGCAATGACTGAAGCCATGCAGAGGGTAGACATGACGTCTGGTCGGTTCATCTTCTGAAGGTCACAAAGGTCCAAGGACATAAGCTCCAAAGCTAGCCGTCACAAGTTCATCCGCTGTGTCCAGTTCTGGGGGCGTGTGCTCCATCTCTTTCTCGGGAGGCTCATTGTCTGAGTCGGGTATCCATCGGGAAGGCAAGCATAGATCATCTGGAGGTACTGGAGTTGGTCCCGTGTAACAGCCACACTGTCACTTGGTTGAGAACAAATTGCGCAAATTTGAAAGATGGAGTCGGGCTCTCTGCAAAGGACGACAAGCCCGGGTTGTTCCAAGTTTTATCGCGCAAGCAACTTCTCCTTGGCCGGTGGTGAGCAGATTCTTCTTCAAGTCGATCGTCCCCTTAACGCGCTCGAGAAAACTCAAGGGCAACAAAGGTGGGGTCTTGAAGCGCTGGTCATCTTGCAGCACCAATCCTAATCATTGCATTCACCTACACTACTCCAACTGGAATTTCCAGCTGCTCCACCGCCTGCGTTTCACCACCAACTCCCCCAGCAGAAGGCAAAGGCCCGAAACTTGAGGTTTAATATTTTTTGTTCTTAAACTTGCCTTGGCAAACAAGGGCCGTCGGGTTCCGTCGTTGCCGCCTTTGGGTCGGCCTTGATCTCGCCCTTTTCCACTATGAACACAGCCACGCTCTGTCTTCCTGCGTTCCCAGCAGCTCATGTTCAGGATTGCACTTTGGCCGGCCGGCTGGTGAAAGCAGCACCTCGGTTGGGCGCTTCGCGCCTTAGCTGGTATTCCTCCGGGAACGACTGGAGGAGTTTGATCAGGCGTTTAGTGGACTCGTGCTCTCGAAGTGCAAGGAGCTTCAGCCGCCTTAGTGTCGAAGGCGCGCCGCTCCATGAAGGCAAAGGTCTTCTCTCCGGTGCGATCGGCTGTTCTGCCGTGGATCTGATTCCCCAGCATGGAGAAGCGTCATTGGGCTGTGGTCCTGTGCTGTCGGAAGCATCCAAGGCCACGTGAAAGAGCTCCTGCAGCTCGGCCCTGTGGGATGCTCCACCAAGGATTCCTTTGCGATGCAGCGGCGGGCACCCATCTGGGCCCAAGGGTCACCACCCTTCATCAGCCAAGCTCGAAGTCAAAGTCGAAGGTCGCAAGGACCTTGAGCTCCGCCTGCCACTGTGGAGGTAGGATGTCGAGGAACAACCACAAGAGTGGAACACTCAAGGGCATGGCATCGTTTCCAATGCGCAACCGAGAGTGACTCAAGGCCTGAACCCAAACAGCAACATCTTCATCACAAGAGTTCCAGACAAGAGTGTCACCCAAGAGTGACCTGCAGGAGTGTCACGCAAGAGTGTCCTACAAGGGTGCCGCAGAAACTTTCATTACCTCCCCGCATTCTGGCTGCATCTGCATCTGTCAAGTGCGAGTTTTGTTTATCTGGGCCCGAGAAAATAGTGTCTTGCATTCAGGTTTGTGGCTTCTGTCAGGCTTGCTCTTGTTCTTGGAACTTCCAACGCATTTAGGGGGAAAATTTGATTCCCTTGAGGTGTGCTATGTCTGGATGGCCAACATTCTCGCAACGCAACTGCCAAGACCAAACATAAAGAACTGTAGGATCAAACCAGAGGGTTACATGAAATAATCAACCGTCTTCCTTCATCAAGACATCTGCCATCGCCAAGCAACTCTATAGGACACTTGAAAAAATATTCAGAATGATTAACGTTTCTAAAGCACGCACAGCACCTAGAGGTATGTAGAGAAGAAAGGACAAGAAAAACATGTATGCTATGCAGGCACCTGGCATTTTCTTGTATGCAGAGATACATGGGCATCTACACCAGTTCTCGAGACTTTATACACATGTTTTTGTGATCTATATATTTTGTCCAACTAGCATGGAATGAGAGTAGTCATCCCACCAACACCGTCGCAGGAATATTCAACGCATTTCAATGTGACAGCAGCTCAGGTTGACGCACAGGCTGGCAAGTCCACAAAGCTGAGGGGAAACTTCAATGCCAATCCTGAGTACAGTCCCCGGCCAAATGCTTCATGCTATAGATGTCCACCATGTTCAATGATCTTCCAAAGTGAAACGAGGGATGCCTCCAATCTTTCGACTTTGGAAGCTTAGGCGAAAACGAGCGATCTTTGTGATGTCATTCAGAAGGACTGCGCGATCCATTTTGGACCCTCTTCCTCAGTCAGGCAGCATTTGAAGACCTTCTCCGTTTCGAAATCTCCATTTGCAAACTTGACCCTCCAATATCAATCAAATTTCATCTTGGATTGGAACGTATCCATGACGCAGTGGCACCCCGAATGGAGGTCTTAGATTCCTGAGGCACCTCGGCAGAGGAAAAACAGTAAGCTTTCCACGTGCGCCACCCACCAGCCAATTTTACATGAATGTGATGTGGCATGTGTGGTGAGTATGCCAATGAAAGTATAAACAAAAACTGTAGGCCATGCTATAAAGCATTGGAAACCACGTGCTGCAGGGATTAGAATATATGGCCCGAACCAGAAATCCAGCACCAAGTCCGAGGGCCGAGGTTCTTTTATAATCGTCCTCCATGTCCTTTGAGAGAAGAATGGCAAATGTGACCGAACTCGTTTGGAAAACCATCACAACAGTAGTCAGTAGCGGAATGTGAATCCACGAGCGTAAGCATGCCTAAGCCTTGCATCTCAATGGCCCTTTATCTGAGTTCCCTCTTCAACACCTGTATGATCACTACCCCACATCCCCTTCCTGAGCTGGAAACCTTTGAAAGCTTTCATAAAAATGTGCACTGTCTACGGTTACAAATAGTCCCAATGTGTGTGTATATATATAAATATATATGTATTTGCATAATTTATACTATTCAGATAATCCGATTTTTTGAAGTTTAAGGCCTGCGCAAATAAATTGGATGAGAAGAGAAAAAAAAAACTTTGCATGCAAGGGCGTTGCTAGAGTTTTCTGCTTCTCGGCTAAATTGTCCCTCTACATGTATCAGCATCCACCCTTCTCGTTTTAATCTCCCTCCTCTGCTCATTAAAGCTTCCTTTTGAACAATCCACCTTTCTTCGCAGCAAAATCTTTCTCCTTTCAGCTCAACCCTGTTCAAATTTCAATATTTCTTCGCAGAATGTCTGCCTTTCAGCAAAGGAATGAAATATTTAAGGGTTCTTAGCGCGAACCAGATTTCAATGTGAAATATACATTGCAAATGATTGCAAATATAAATATATATATATAAACCCTGAGAGAGCTCGGCAATGTGCAATCATTTGTCCTTTGTTGGATCTTCTCGTCCTGCTCTTCTGAATGAGTCTCCCAGTCTCCCGTTTGAGCGCAATGTATTGCACAAAGTCACCAAGGACAACTCCGAAATCCAATAGTGGGACTGGAAGGCAACTGGAAGTACTTCTAAGTTTGTGAAAGCCCTGTTTGGCTAACCTTGATTCTGGCAGGAAAAACTGGACTTCATTAATTAAACTTCACTTGCTGCCAAATTTTCAGGAAAAATCAAATCTTGTGAACTCAAGCACCTCAAACTCCTTCAACCATTCCACACAGCTCCTATGTACGGGATGCAAAATGTTCAATAAACTTTTTCCGGAGATCCCGATTATTTCTGCAGAGCTTTCTTTAAGAATCCTGTTAAACTCTGGCCTTTACAGTTCACCATACTCTGCATATGCGGGGCTACACACAGTACACATCAGTGTTCTTATGATGTGCCCTTTCGGAAGGTGGCTTAGGTACCTAAAGCCCACAAAAAGGGCTCTAAACTGTGAACTTGAATCCATCGCTAAAGAATTGCCCAGGTTGCTCGATGCAGCTAAAGTGCTGGTGATACTAGTTACTAGTTACTAGCGGACTTGTCGAAAAAAGGTGCAACTTAACCTGGAGATTGTTATACCTCTGCAGCAGCGAGACCAGAACTGAAAGCTTGGTGAGTGAGGATTCAGATGTGCAGCAGAGTGAATTGGTTCACCAATTGACCTCGGACCTTGGTTCTTGTTTCTTTTTCAGGATTCTCAAGAATGTGGTTCAGAACGAAATGAGGCTGGTTGAAAGATTCACAATCCTCTTTTCGAATCACACAGAAAGTTCCTGATGCTGCACCTGAGCATGAAGTGCACTACATACTGGCAGTCAGTGTGAAACAAACTTTGAACGAAAACATCTGGAGAGTCATGAAGGGAGGTCTTGCGGGATGATGCTCCAAGCTGACGATGGACCTACACCAAACGCTTGTCAAACGCAAATCAAAAAACAGTACGCCAGCATAGACCCCAGATAGCAAAAAGACTTTTCCGGCAGCACCAGCAGCAACGGCGCCAGCGCACAGCAGCGGCCCCAAGCGCACACAGGAGCGGCACCCTGCAGCGGCACCAGCACCCAAGGTCAAGCAACTCTTCCTATATTTGAAATAGGAAACCCAATAGCTCACGCTATCTAGGGAATTGCGCCAGCATAGACTCCAGATAGGAAAATGACCTTTCCGGCAGCACCAGCAGCAACAAGCGCACACAGCAGCAGCACCCTGCGCAAAAGCTTCCAAGCGCACACAGCAGCGGGACCCTGCAGCGGCAACAGCACCCAAGCTCGCAGACGCACCCACACGCAGCTCTTCCTATACTTCCAATAGCTCACGCTATCTGGTGAAAACCAATGCAAAAAGTGCTTCAGAATATTTAAATGTTAGAACAGGAAGCCAAATTCAAACAAAAGTCAATAAAACCAACAACTTTAGTATTGGATTTGCTTGGATTTCAGTGAAAGGAAGGGGGTCAAACGTTTGAATCAAAACCAACCAGTCACAACCTACTTTGATCACGCAAGAACATGTGCCCTATCAAAGCACCTGTTCCCACCATTCCTTCTCCCACTTCATCATGAACCCTGAGAGCCCTGAGCCCTCACAGAGTTGACTTTCACCATAAATATCATGTTGGCCCGATGAATCAGTGAGACAACGCAAGCCCCAATGTTGTCTCCCAAAACGAAGAATCCCCCATTCACACCAGCTCTTTTTTGCTGCGTCTTCCCTCGTTGCTTGAAAGAAAAGGAATCACCTGACTCCTGCTCAGCTTGCAGCAGTCACACAAAAGCTGGCCTTTCCAAAAGATAATGTCAGCCATAGTCCTTGAAAGAATGCAGTGCATCTTGGGACTATGGCCAAGCTCGCGCAGGGGAGCGGGGCCCGCTCCGCGCAAGTATTCGTACCAGCGCTATACTAGTCCTACTGTTACTAGTACTACTACAACTACTACTCATACACCAACAACAACAACAACTACTACTACTACTACTCCTCCTGCTGCTGCTACTACTACTACGACTACGCTTGCAGCGCCTTCTACGGAGCGGGGCCCGCTCCTGCAGGGGAGCGGGGCCCGCTCCGCTTGTAGTATTCGTACCAGCACTACTACTCCTACTGATTCTACTACGACAACCACTACAACAACAACAACAGCAACAGCAACAGCAACAGCAACTACTAATAATAGTAACTGTAAGAAAAAATACTAATACCACTACTACTACTACTACTACTACTACGACTACGACTACGACTACGACTACGACGACGACGACGACGACGACGACGACGACGTTTACGACTACGACTACTACTACTACTACTACCTCTACCACTACCACTACCACTACCACTACTACTACTACTACTACTACTACTACTACTGACGACGACTACTACTACTACTCCTACGAGTACCCTTGCAGCGCCTTCTACGCCCGCTCGCGCAGGGGAGCGGGGCCCCGCAACACTCCACCAATCGCAAGAACAATCAGTACTTGTCGGGAAGACAATTCAGACAAGCATAAAGGATACTTGTATCGACCCGGCCTCCGTCCATGCAAAGTTCTACCCCGTCGTCCACGGCATCTCATAACGTCCATGGGGCGTGGTAAGTTCATCACCGACACATGTCCGCACGGCGTTGGAACAAGTCCAACAAGTTCAGACCTATCATTCGTTTGTTTGTTGGTTGTTGTTGCTGTTGTTGCTCGGTGTGCGTGAGTCTGTGAGTGAGTCACGCGTTTCGATGTTGTGTTGGAAGTTGATTCCGAGTCTGAGTCGAAACAAGATCTGCTTCGGCAAGGATTCTCCACATGATTTGGGAACCCATCAGGCTCTGCTCAAAACTGACGAAAGCGCCAGCTCCGACTCTGAATCCATATAGGATGTGCTCCGCAAGTATTCTTGTCCAGATGATTTGGGAACCCATCAGGTTCTGCTCAAAACAAGGAACATGTAAAAAAGAAACCACCTCCCCTAAAACAAAGAGAGCTCGAAGTTATGCGGGTGTGGTTTTTACGCGCTTTTTGTTGATTTTCTTAGATTTTGTAATGTTTTGAAAGAGTTTCCATGGCTGCGGACTAGATATGTTCTTGTGCTCCTGTTTCCCAAACAAACCAACGTTTTTTCAATCAACCTCTGGATCCCACCTTGCCCATAAGCATTCTCATTGTTTCAAAGCTAGCACTTTTTGGGTTTCTCCCCCCACATTCTTTATGACATGGAGAGAAGATCATTATCTTGAAGCACCTTGTGCCCACCAGGCCCAACAAAAGTTGAGAAACTTGCGTAGTAGTACTGCATGACTGATTGGAATTGGTTTTTGCATGGCCTTCTTGACGCCCATGCCCATAATAAGCCTCATCCTCATTCTCAGGGTCATAGGGAACCATTCTGCGAGCATTGGGAGTTCACATGCTCATCTCCACTGCCCTCACCCAATGGCTCTTCAGGTCTATGCCTATGCTCCATATCCCCACATCTACGACGAAATCTTCCAAAGAACCTTATGAAGCCCAAGGAACGATCCAGCCATAGATACACTGAGGGTCTGAATTGGCTGTGTGGCCACTACTCATTCCCAAGCTCATGAAGAACCTTCTCTTTACCCCAACCTTCTTGCCCACACATAGACATACATGATGTCAGGTTGCACCAAACCTGGCATGCTCAGCATGCTCCCAATGTTCACCCAACATTGCCACCATACAGCAGACCCAACGTTCCACCATTGAGACCATACAGTATAGGTCTCCACCCTCCACCACATAGAGCCTGAATCCCCCATTCCTTCTCCATGTTCTGATATGTAATGATCCAATTGGCATGGCTCTGATCTGTCAGATCAAGCTTTTGCAAGAATACTAGCTTCCCACACAGAAGTCCATCAACCATCATCTATCAGAAAGTCCATGACATCACATCATACATCATCAGGTCATCACCTCATCTGGTCTCCAAGACCTCCAATCTCAATGAGTCCTCAATCTCCAGCAGAAGCTTGATGAGAGATCTGACAGATTACAAGTCGACATTTTTCTAGACACATTCTGCAAAACAACCAGCATTTTTGAAAAACGAAGAATAACCACAAACCACAAAAACGCATAAAACCACACCCGTATAACTTCGTTTTCTGAAAACAAAATAGAAAATCTAATCAGCATGATGCTTGCGGTAACTGAAACTAGCTTTCACACTCCATGTGATCGTCAGGCACGCACACAGCAGGCACCAGCGCCCAAGCTCCCACACGCACAAAGCACCGCCACCAACACCCACGCACACAGCAGCGGCGCACAACAGCGGCACCAGCACCCAAGCCCCCATGCGCACACAGCCCGGCACACAGCAGCGGCACCAGCACCCAAGCTCCCACACGCACACAGCAGCAGCACAGCAGCGGCACCAACACAGCAGCAGCACACAGCAGCAGCACACGGCAGCGGCGCCAACACCCAAGCTCCCACGCGCGCAACAGTCCCACACAGCAGCGGCACCAGCGCCCAAGCTCCCACACGCACACAATAGTCGCGCACTGCAGCGGCACCAGCACCCAAGCTCACACACGCACACAGCAGCAGCACACAGCAGCAGCACACAGCAGCGGCACTAGCACCCAAGCTCCCACGCGCACAAAACAGTCGCACACAGCAGCGGCACCAGCACCCAAGCTCCCACGCGCACACAGCAGCAGCACACAGCAGCGGCACTAGCACCCAAGCTCCCACGCGCACACAGCAGCGGCACCAGCACCCAAGCTCACACACGCACACAGCAGCGGCACACAGCAGCGGCACCAGCACCCAAGCTCCCACGGGCACACAACAGTCGCACACAGCAGCGGCACCCTACAGCACCCAGGCTCGAAAGCGCACACATGCATCTCTTCCTATACTTGAAGTAAGAACCCCAATAGCTCACGCTATCTAGGGAACAAGGAAGAAGGAAGGAAAGGGAAAGAACTGGCCAAGAAAATCTAGGAGCATCAGGTTTTGTATAAAAATGTTAGGGCAACGCAATGCAAGCAACGTGTGTTGAAGCACGATACAGTATTATATATGGACAATCCTTGGCTTTGAATCAGGGGTTTGCTGAGATGGCAATGAACAAGCAAATAGAAGCCACGCTTACAATCGAGCCCTTCTTTGTGTATGACATACTTGCCTCAAACAATGTCAATATGATTGAGGGCAACGATTGGTTCAGAGCTTCACTTCTCAAAAGAAACTGTGAAATTTCTCTGACAAGGGTGTACAAAGTACGTAGTGTGCTTCAAGTTGCTAACATAGAGACTGTGCATTTTACTGCCTTCTAGAACTTGGCTGGAGCCATCTTGTTGTCGAAATGTTACAGTAACTCTATTCTTGCAGCTTGGACCATAAATGCCGTTGTTCCGGAATATACAGTCATAGTCAAGTTTACCTTAATTAGGATCAGTCTACAAGCCTGTTATGGACGTGTTTAAAACATGCCTGTTTAAGCATACAAATGTGCATCAATTCCTATTCCAACAATATTTGGGAATGCAGCACCGGACTTATGCCAACACCTTGGGAATTGACTGAAACACAAATCAAAGTCAAAGGTGTATACTGTATATGTGAGCAGGCAGTTGCTCAATTCAAGAGTCAATTGACTCACTAGGGCTCAGTCATGAGGCTCGCTTACATCAACAAGCTTCTTTGTACTCGGATCTTGCTTCATGTAGCTTCCAGCCTCAGTCGACTCAGAGACTCCAGTCGAAGACTCAACGACTTCACAAACCTCGCAAGCTCGCGTGTTCACATGCGGCTTGCGTGTTTACAGCCCTTTTTCCGACCTCCCCGGCCAACTTAAGTAAGTAAGAGAGAGGTAAGCTACTAGGTACAGGACAGGATAGCAGGGCGGGGGAAGCTTCCTTGAAAAAGCGCTTGCACTACTGATTTGGTTCCTAGACTTTTTGGGAAACTTAACTATATATATATATTGATCAAGTGCTGATCAATCACTTGAGGCTTTGACACGTGGACCTTCCTGCATGAAAAGCACCTGCAGCATTTTTGTAGAGGTGGGCTGCGCTCACCTCTGCTTGCCTTCTTCCTCCATTCTATGGTTTGACTCCTGTCTGTATCGTGCAGCCTGACTCTGAGGGTTGACAAGGGTAACATCATCATGACGCACCTCAGTGCATTCCACCAGGCCACTCAACAAACACACTTGTGCAAAACAGTGGCAGGTTGCCTCGTTTCAAGAATGGCAACAAAATTTATCCACTTTCTTTGAGGCCACATGAATAGTGACTGGTGGGTCCAAACTGACTAAATGGGTTTTAGTTGTGGCACTAGCCATTCATGGATAATCTGCGTTCTGTTGCCACGAACTTCTCAGCTGCTCACCCATCCTTCTCCTGATAAGGCATTCATATTTGGAGTCAGTAAAACAGACACAAAGGCCAAGGGGTAAAAACTGCGCATCGCTTGCAATCCTTGACAAAAATCTGGGCTTTGTCTGTCTGAAAGAATGCAAGGTTTACCGCAAGACCACTCCACGCTTTGCAATTCGAACTTCTTGCACCTCTAGGAATCAGCCGTTTCTTGGATTCAGCTGCAGACCTGAAGCCAGCGACAGAAACCAAGAAAAAACTGTGTAGCTACAAATACATTCAAATCGATCAAGCCCACCCCTGACTGCTGAGGATGAATCCCTGCACAGGTTCGATCTCAATGTGAAATCCCACTCAAAACAGATTCTCTAATCAAGGTTGCATACACTGTCCTCCAGCATGCTCTCGTTTGCATTCTCAATCTCCTCGCCCGATCTGGATTGAAAGCAAGGCTCTCAAATCAATTTAAAGCTGTGCGCGTGTCTATATGTCCACGCTGGAGCTCTTGTCCTGGACTACAACACCACAGGCTAGTAATGTACCTTGCTGGCTTAAAAACTGTCAACTGTTTGCAATTCTTATCTTACTTCGTCGGAACAAATGTTGATATATCTTCTGTCTTGACGTGCCTGTGCTTCTATTTATATATATATATATACATATACATATACATATACACAGTACACATACACCACTACAGGCATCCTTCAACTCAGGAGGAGGAGGAACAAATCACTTGCTATTCCTTTGGTTGAAGGGTGTGAGCAATTGGCGAACCTCTAGGGTTGTTAAAAAAAAAAAAAAAAACAACTATCTTCTCGGCTAGTTGCACCGCAGACACTGCCTCCCTTTGTTCCACATTGCCGGCAACATGTTGTTTTCGCCGATAACATGTACAGGTACTTGTTTGCCACTAAAGAACACAGAACTGATTTCAAGAATCTATTTACCTCGCAATTCAATCCGTGAGAATCAATGCTTGACATCAATGCGGATAGGATTGGAAAGGTTAACCACTGTAAGGAATTGACAGCAGTTGATCTTTCCCCGCTTAGGGACCAGCCCAACCGCTGCATCCAAGGGCCCCAAATAAAAGAAGGAGCCCAGCTGTGTCTTCCCTGTGGCACCCAAGTCAGTGAGGGTGCAAAAGAAAGAAGATACCATTCATTGCTAAATATATAGAGTACTTTGAGATGAAAACGTCCAAGGTCTATACATATACAGTATATATATAATAGAATGCCAAAGTAGTAAGAAAAGAAGATGTAACGCTAGATCAATAGAAAGTAGAAAATCAAGCATTTATGGTCTTATGTTGTCGTTTTTTCTTTTGACTTTGTCTTTATTTCTTTGTCTTTCTGTGGTTCTTCCTTCCTTCCTTCTTTCCTTCCTTTAGTTCCTTCTTTTCATTGGGATCCCAAATTCCTGAATACCTAGAAGAAATCTGAAAAGAAGTGCATGACAATAAAATAGAACAAGGTAGCAACGAAAAGTATCATGAACCTCCAAATATAAACATAATGCGCATGAGAATAGATTTTGTATGACCTATAAGAACAGTGTGTGAAAGAAAGGAAATTGTGAACCAAAGCTCAGACTATTTCTACTAAAAGGATATTGGTGATTTTTGGTAATGTTTTGTGTTGCCTCTTTTGGCTTATTTCTATCTTTGGTATGCATGTTATAATTTTTCAGTGCTTTGAGAGATGTTCATCTTGATTTTGCTGGTATTTACAGCACTTTGGGCACCTGGTGTTATGTTTTACTGGTATTTGCCACATTTTGGACATGCCATTTTTAACTTGTGCTTGTGCTGTTTTTTACAGCACTTTTGGGTGTTCAACTTTCACTAGTATTTCAGGTATGTACCTCACTTTGGGCACCTGGTGCTCAACTCTCCAGCCTGTTGGCTGTCTTGGTTTATCCTCTTGTCAGATGTTCTTCAAATTCCACATTCTGCAGGTACAGTACTTGCTCGGCTTTCATGGTTCTCGATACTTCTCTTTCAAGAACCATGAGTCCATGCTGCTCCATTTCCAGCTATATATGGTATTTGCCCGCAAAACGCTGTACCGCGGAGCTTACAAACAACATCAACATTATGAATCATGTGCCCATAGTGACGTAGTGCTGTCCGTAGTGTCTACTTCAGTGTTCAGGTTCTGTTGGTATTTCTAAGCCTGTGGGCTGTCTCGATTTATCCTCTTGCCCAGTTCTCCTTGGTGTTTCCTGCAAGTTGTGAGTCTTTTCATAGTTCAGTCGGCATTTGCTTCATTTTTCATGGTTCCTGAGATTCTTCTGTCAAGAACAAGCTACCGTGAGCGAGTCCAAGTTGCTTCATGTCCATCTTTGGTATTTGCCGCCTGCAAACGCTGTACAGCGGAGCTTGCAACATCAAACAACATCATGTGCCCATAGTGCTGCCCATAGCTTCTACTTCAGCGTTCAGGTTCTGCTGGTATGTTTAAGCCTGTTGGCTGTCTCAATTTATGATCCTATCGACTTCTTCTTATTAAAGGTTTTACTCAGAAGTTAAACAAAGAAGACTGAGCGTCATTGACTCCACGATACCAGCAATATATATATATATACATATATATATATATATCTGTGTGTATCTATTGGATTTCATGTTGATTCATTCATGGGGACTGTGCATGTCAGCCGCATCCTGGATTCAACGCTGTCTACTACGTCGTTTGCAGCAAAGGAGAGTGCAGGACTGAATGATCTTTTCTCTGCTCCACTCCTTCAGAGACCATTTCCGGCTGGTTAGAGAAGCCTGACGAACATGTGCAATCACAGGCAAAGTATATATCTGCGTTTCTATTGTTCATGTCAACATTTCAGTTCATTGTCTTCGTCATTCTAAAAAATTGTACTTCAGCAGAAGAGCGGCCCTTGAAGCAAACCCTACATGTCTGCGCAAAAGGCCAAGCTCGGCACCGCTACCCTTCGCGTTCCTGCAGCTCCTTCCGAAACAAAGGCCTTTCCCATCTCCACCTTAAGAAATGTACATGAAAAAGGAACATGCACAAGGTCTGCACCATAAGAACCATGTGACGTTACTCTGTCTACACTCTGTCAAAACCCTGAGAATCTGGCTCCATCATTGATTGCCTCAGGTCTGCTGTCCCTCGCTGGACCGAACCTGAGGACTCGCACGCATATCTATCACACGTAGGCTGAAGTAGGCTGAACAGCAATTGACTATCTCGGCCATGTTGTGTTGGGTTGCCAACACACCAAAACTCTTGGCGACCTCAAGGTGCAACTTCGCACGAAACCTGTACCATGAAGCAGCAATATAGTAGAGATGGCAGGAACAGTAGATAACCGTGAAGGCAGAAGTTCTGTGCACTGAAGGACAAACAGCACCTTGAATCCAACCGTTCAATAGCAATCTTCACATAACTTGCCCTTGAGTCCACCTGTCTTCGGCGCTCTGCATGTCTTCAGTGACATTAGGTAATCTGTCAAGCAGTTTTACCTCCTGTATATGGTCATTGATTGCACGAGGCCGATCCATTTGGATGCAAAAATGAGCCAGCAAGCCTCTTCATCTTTTTGAGAGGCCTCCTGACCTGAAATGTTGCAATAGCTTTGCAAACTGAAGATATGTGTCCAAAGGGTTTGTTTCTGACAAGCTGTGCGAATTGCTAAAAGGTTTCAGTCTCAGGCGGTACTTCTGAAAAGCCATTGTTGCCGAAGCATTGCGGCTGGTTTTTGCTTGCCCCACCTACATGTTGGAATCATCCCGAGTCACGAGTTCGGCTGGATCACGTCATGACCATTGGTTTTGAGTCTGATCTCGGCATTCGGCAAGCAGTGCCATGACAACCTGCTGCGGAACACTTCACTGCAAATCTTGAAGGTGTTTTCAAAATTGCAAGACTCTACATGCGGAATGCACAAATTTGAGACTGACCCTGGTGGTCCAAAACAACATAGATTCAAAGAATGTCCGGCCTAGTTCACGAAAGAATGAGCTAGCCACCACTCACCATTCCCAGTTTCCACCTGGCGAAGCAGCCAAGATGGTTCGCACCCCAGAGGTGATTGCGTGGAGCAAGTATGCGTGCAAACTGGAGGCCAGCGAGGGTTAGCGAAAGGTAGGGAGGGCACTTGGTTGCAAAAGTGCAACACTGTGTAATCCTGATCCAAAAAGTCTACAATGTTTAACAACCAGCTGAACATTATCTTGTAGATGCTTAACCGTAGCAACCAGCTCTCCTCTAAAGAGGCAATTTATCAAAACCATGTTATTGAAAGCACCTTCTCATAAAGACACCTTTCTCGAGACAGTTTTGGGAAGCCAGGGGAGGTTTTGTACCTGGCACCTGCGGGGAATTCTAGTGCAACATCACTGATGAACCTGGGGCCTCCTTGCCTTGCCAACGCACAGTCAAACTGAGCTAGTCTTTTAACGCTATTTTCAGCCAACGATCGAAAATGCGGTTTTATATACATATAATATCAAATATGACTGCCTCCCGCATCGCACGAGCATAGGCATGACTGCGAAGAAAAATTAGATTGGTCCCTAACAATGACCTTTTCACTGCATGTGTTGTGTTTGATTGCGACTCCATATTAATTCTACTTGAAAGTAAATGTCTACTTGGCAGATTCGTGGCTGCACGGCCCACCTCCTCAAAGCCAAGATTGGGTGCAAACAACATCATGCAAGTCTTAATCGAACTCAAAACATTCAAGTTTCCAAACGACGGAACACCTCTCACAAAATGACCCATTGCATCTTTGCGCGGACATTTTTGTACAACAGTTGTCATAGGTCTGGAAAAACAGGCTCACGTAGAAAGTTTGTGGGCAGCGCCAGCCCCCAAACACTGCCACCAACTTCTGTTTGGCAGCCAAAGGCCGGATCAAGACATGGGCGCGGTCTTTTCTTTTAGAACAACCACTACATTGAAAGGTTCATGAACTGCAGAGAACCTGGTGTTCTCGCTCCAGCCACGCTCACCATTCCCACGTGCATGATTTTTTCCTCTGATCTCGTGAAAAACGACCTCCTTAAGTGAGTGAACTCCAAAAACGTTTCACACTGGCTTCCAACAGACTCGAAAGAACACTTTGTTGGTGCACTTTGAGCCAAACACAAGTAAAGCATTTAATGTAAAGTCAGGATTAATAAACCCCCCCCTAGTTAATCCGAGCCCACAAAGCCGCCGGAAATTGCCCAAATTAAAAGTATTATTGGCTGTTGATTTCCCCCCCTATGGTCTAATTTTCTACCAACAACCCCCCCCAGTTAATCCGAGCCCACAACCAGGTCAATTTTTCGTACTACTACTACTACTACTACTACAACTAGTACTACTACTACTACTACTACTACTACTACTACTGCTACTACTACTACTACTACTGCTACTGCTACTGCTACTGCTACTGCTACTGCTACTGCTACTGCTACT